TCACATAGTCGACTAGTCATTCATATCCCTATTTGTGCCTTTCTGTTTAGTTCTCTGCAAGCCACAGGAATGAATGAAATGGGAAGGGAATCCCCAACTAGGTCTATGCCCGGTGGCTGTAGAACATTCTTGGCTCTCTGTGGCGGGGTCTGTGCACTATGAAAGTCTCCCCTCTCCCCTGCTCCCCTTGGATGTTTGGCCTCTAGCGATAAAAAGAGAGAACTAAGCAAAAGGTCTTCTTTTTCAAGTTCCATTAAAGGCTGTCTTGGCAACCTCTGGCATGTCTCCTGACAGTTGAAACATATGATGCTTGCTCTCTAGTGTAATTTTCTAAGTATATATGTCCAGAGATGGGGGTTAAATTCAACACAACTGTAAGAAGGGGCTGAACTGCTGCTTGCTGTCAGCCAGCTGAAAGGAGGGGTGGGTGTGCCCACTACAGTTGTTTAGCTCTACAAGGTAATTAACTGTTAACTGTTGACATGTAAATACTGCTCAGGAGAGAATCCAAGGTGTGGCTATGTAAATCCCATTCAGCCAGGGCTGATGGAGGGTCAGTGTTGGAATGGAATGTGGAGAATTGTATATAATTTGGGACTGTTGTGGGGGTAACTAATCATGCTACCCCTAAATGTGGGAACTGTTTGCAGGCACTACTAAAGGGTTTGCGCCTGCATACCTTAGAGTACCCATTGGTAGCTCAGACATCTCCTGTTTAGCATCTTCAATCTTCCTATAGGCTTCAGCACAAAGGGTATGGATCATCAGGGTATCCAGATATTGGTCCCCAGCCCGTCGTCTGCAGTATTCTGCAAGCACCTTGAAGAGACTGGAGTTGGTCCCTATCAGTACTGACACATCAGGGACCCCTTTAGGGTCAGGGCATATCAAGGCTACTGTGTCCACCTCTTCTCTTACCCCTGCCACCTCCTCAGGGAATTCCAAATGCACTATGACATACCCTTTGTAGGGATATTCGTTCATGCTGAGACCACACAGGCCAAGGCCAGTCAATGGCTGGATAGGCAGGTGCCTGAGCACCTGTTGGTAGAATGACTGGAATATAATTGTCACCTGAGATCCGGTATCAAGCACTGCTTTGCACTCCGCCCCTTCAATCCTTACAGTGACCTCTGCTCGAGGCCCTATCAGTCCTGAAGGGATCCTAGCTGAGTGGTCTTTTCTGGGGAATCCGTCAAATCCTGGGGGTCTGGGTGGTCCCTGTCCCCCGACCGTCTCATGACTGATTCTCAGCTTTCCATAAACTAAACTGGGGTTTTCCTCATTTGGGCAATGTGCAGCCCTGTGCCCATCTTGACCACACCGGTAGCAGAAGAATGATCCTCTCCTCTTTTGGCTGGGTGGGATGGCAGCTCCAGGCGCTGACTTATCCATCACCACAGCCTGAGGTTCCTCATCCCTGCAAATCCGCGCTTGGTCAATGGCTCTCTGCAACTCAGCAATCCGTTCTGTCAGGACCTGAACTTGCTGGGCAATGTCTCCTCTGGTGTTCACCATGAGCACACCGGCTGTTTGTCGGGGTGCAGCGCTGGTTGGCTTAGGCCTCTGGGCCTCCCAAAGCCCACTGGTAGCCTGCCTTTCTTCCTCCTCTCTGACCTCCTTTATCAGTTGGGAGTACGCAGGGGGGTGTTCCAGTCGTTCTCTTAGCCGGAGGTGTAGTAGAATCGGGCTGTAATATGGAGTTCCTCTTACAATTTGAGCCAATCTGGTCTGGTCCATCTGCTCAGCAGTCACGGCTCCCCTAATGACAGCTCTCTGCAGCAACTTCTCCAACCTCTGTACATAGGCTGAGAGCTTCTCTCCTCGGTGCTGCTTAGCATTGAGAAAGTTACAAAAACTGTCTTCAGGACCCTCCATGCTCCCAAAGGTGTGAGTGAGGGCCTCTAGGCAGTCCTTTACACTGACCTCAGGATTAGTGAGCTTCAAGGTGCGAATCACATCTAAAGCTGGGCCCCGGAGACTGTCTACTAAACATCTTCGTTTTTCTCTGTCTGGCACAGCCCAATGCTCTAGCATTTCAGTGGTGTGTTCCAGCCAGGGTTCAAACTCCTCTTCCCCAGGGAATAATCTTAACTTACAATAGGAGCTTGCCATAGCATGGGATAGCACACATTTCTCCAAGATTTGCCCCAGGGCTTTTGCCCAATCATCTGCTGAGGTTGCTGCCTCTGAGCTAGAGGCTTCTGGGCCAGGGCCCAACAAACCTGACAGACAAGCCACCATACAAAC